AGCAGACAAAAACAAAATTAATTTTGATGTTCTAATATTTTGAGTCTAACTTTCATAGAGGAAAAATAAAATATAAGTCCTCAACTATTTTAAAACAGACCCAGCAACTTGTCCAAATTTATCTTTTTAGGAGAGATGTAAAAATGACCTCATGAATTTCCAGTTTTCTAACATCAGTTGTAAAAAATACAATAAATACCATTCTCAATTTACATGCATATCAATTACTTAGAAGACAAATATAACTCGTCTTCTTTCTTCACCTTTTAACTGTATCCACTTGATAAGGGATAGGTGAAGCACAGAACAAAGTCTTAGTACAATAATTTGCACACAACTTTTCCAAAAGAGGCAGAATGACTTGTGAAGTCTCTTCACGAAACTTTGTCCATAGATTACAAGTCCTCAATTAATGTACAGCATAACAAACATCTACCAGTGCATATCTAATGTTCAGTGGCACACAATATTAACACTAAAAAATCCAAACTTGGCTACTATCCTTATTATAAATTGCATATTTTGTGCAAAACTGAATAATCAGATTCTGACGGTGCAGCACAAAGTACACATGAGAAAAATCACAGAACAACAGTAGCATGTCCTACTGCATGCGACAAAACTTTGAAGTATTATATCGTATCAAGTCTTTCCTCAACAAATAAAATTAACATCAAAACTTTCCCACACTAGAAAGCTCCAAATGGAACTGAAATCAAAGTTTTGCTATTAAGCAGCAGCAAAAACAAAGTTAACATCCCAAAACAGGGCCCACTGGCAAATCTAAGAATAAGGGAAAATAGAAATGCCATTCAAATACATCAAGTCACTTTGAAGCGTCCAGTGGCATTGACTCAAGAAACACAGAGTCTAGACCCCTCGGTGAAATTAAGCAATTAAAAAATTGGGGAGGGGAGGGGCAGGTGTCAGCTCAAAGCCATGTTTTCAAAATTATGCTGCAGCTTAACACTGGTCAATCACATTAAAAATTAATGATATTTGATAATTGATCAGTAGTAATTCTGCTTTATGTGTGTTTCCATAGAGTACAAAAATTACAGTGTTCTTTTGAATCAGAAGTTATGAAATCTGAAATCTACAATAGATATATAAAAGAATCATTTTACAACACTTCTAGCAGAAAATATACATCAAATAGTACCTTAGCTGCAATAGACTTGTATTTAAATCAAGGAGACTTAAAAGGATAAAAATATACCAACTGATAAATGAGACTTCATACAGATTTTGATGACAAATCTGTAATTGACCTGCCATTTGCATCTGACAATTCAAATTATATTTTTTTACACCAAGATAGAAAGGTTACACCTTTTCCTGACAATTTATTGCAAATACTTCTGATTACCCATCACATCACATATTAAAAGCACCTCTCAAAACAGGACATATCCATCATTTCATTAGTCTGTTCTCCAATTACTGAAAGTTCAAGCCCAATACTTATATAGACTAATGCAGTTAATAAATCAATCAATTTTGACAGTTGAGTAAATTTTGCGAACAAAGAAACTTGTTCCAATGTAGCCTACTGTACCACACAAAATCCCCAGCATTGCACTAAACAATGCCATGTAGCCAAAATAAAAGGCTGTCTGAAACAGACCATACATTCTGAAACAGAACAAATGAAATAGTTAGTCAAAGGAACTACATATCCTCAATCCACAAACAGCTTTTTTTTCAAAACATTTAAATGAACTTACTTTGTTTTAAAGAAGAAGTAATAAAATGAATATAGGTAAACATAACCAGACGTAGAAGCCGCAGCCATGAAACTTGTCCATTGCCTGATAAACAGAAAATTTGGATAGAATTGAATAAATGATATCATCACAGTAGATCTTAAATGAAGACTTCATTGAGTAATACCGCTTAAGAACTTACCATCGGTAATCCTCAGCATTCAGGAGGAAATATGTGCAGACAATTGTAACACACACAGTTACAACAGTTAAAATAAGGAAGACCAGGAGCATGAACCCATAAACATAATAGATTTTGTATGCCCAGAATGATGTAAAGATGAAATACCTTGAGAAGAAAAAATGTACAAATAATTTTATTTACTTATAAACTATTGTTTCAAAAGTTTACACCAGCCATAAGATGTTGCATTGAGCAGCTCATTAAGTTACAGTCAAAATCAAGACTCACATTTCAATGAAAATTGACCCAAAGGGTAAAATACCACCAAGTGACACTATAACCATGGGTTCCATGAACCACTTTTTCTCAGGGATGGGACGGGGGACAGCATTTATTCTGCAGGGAAAGTCAGGCTGTCCATTTAAATTACGTCCTAAAACTGTGCCAACTGTAGTTAAAGGAAGTATTACAAACAGACATATGCATGTCACTGCAACCTGCAATCAAACAACCAAAAAATAACTAAAAGTAACAAAATGTAACAATTGTTTCAATGGATGAAATAATCATTCATTCATACCATTGTTCCAAATGGAATTGCACGAGATGCATGGTAGTAAATCGCAATGAAATTAATGAAGAACGCTGTTCCACAGACAAGTACTGGAAGAAGAGATGCAGACACCAACATTTGTCTGATCCAAGTTCGACCACCAAATCTCGCATATAGTGAACCTCCAAAGTAGCCATTGACAGGGGATGAGGCAGCATACACGAAAATTGCAGTACTCAACATGGAGCCTCGTCTAAAAAGTTGTATACAGAAGTTAGACACAGTAACCAATTTTGTCTAACAACTGCTACATTAGCATGTTCTAGACTGTACTTACTCTGTGTAAAGCTCTCCTAATATAGCAAACACAATAACGCATGTCGTCACAACTGTTACTTGGTATCCTGTACCAATCAAAGCTGAGAATATAAGAGGGTGTGAAGGTGCTCGGAAAACATCACCATGGACCTGCTTCCAGCCATACTCATCGCCTAAATCTCGTTCCTAATAGTAAAAAAGTGCAGTAACAAACAAAGATACAGATCTCAAACAGATAAAAATTTAAAGATTATGTGGTATGTTATGAAAAAGAGGAATACAAATTAATAGTTTACCATATCATCCATTTCCTCATCTTTGCTGTAACGTGCGTAATCCTTGCGCAAAGTCCTCATGAGAATCATGGAAACTAAACCCACTAAAAAGATTACCATCATAAAACTGTTAAAAATGCTGAACCAGTGAATCTGCAAAATATAATACAAGCCAATAAGTACAGCCTTACTCGTAAATTAAGATAAGAAAAATAAACATTTTTTAGAAAACAAACCCTGTGTTGGAAGAAATTTGGATCCAAATACTTGTCAAATCTGTCTTCATAATGAATATTAGATGGCTTCCAATTGACCTCATAGGTAAAAGGAATAACAGCATCAGGAGAAAGTTTGTGCCTGACCTCTTTGGTCAAGTTAACATCAACAATTTGCTTTCCGTTGTATCCAATGTCAAATCTCTTGTGAGTCCATATGTAATAATTTGTGGTACCATCCTTTTCTTCCATTTCACCAACAATACCTAAAAATAAGGAATTATAATAGCAATTAAAAAAAATTAAGATGCTATTAAAGTGTAAGTGTGAAAATGTGAGCTTATTAGAGAACTCACCCCAAATAGGCAGGTCATCAATGTACATTTGATACCAGTACTGATTTTTAACAGCATACACAAACTGCCTGTACTTATCACCATCTAATGCTAGTTCACAATAAGTCGTGCGAGAAATGTCCGCTGCAAATTGAAAATTTTTAATCTAAATTGTAGGGACGCAAAAGCAATGGATCATTCTTTAAAAGTTGTCAACGTAAAAAGTACCTTTAAATTCCATCTTCAGTCCACTGAATTCCAGCTCCACTCCTTGTAATGCTTCACCAATAGTTTCATGGTAATGACTGATAGAATCCTTGCGCCCAGTACAAAATGGTAAAGTGAAGTAGCCATAAGTTTCTTGACGGTTGTGGTATGGGCCGACAGTGTTCATCCACAGAACCACTTCATCATTATCTTCATACTGTGGAAAGAGAATGTGCATTAGGTGACTTCCTAGAATTAAAGCATTTCTTGTGGAGTAGCCCTCGAACTTCTGTAAAGCCTAGTAAACACATCTTTATTTGCTTAGGGATCTACAAGGATGAGAAGATAAGTCTTCAACAACACGACAAATCTAAAGAAGCCACAAGGAGACATTATATTAATGTAATACGAAAAGACTTGGATAACGTAAAGAAGTATTAATGAAGGGTATATTTACAAATTGTCTGTTGTTTATTTATGTAGGGCAAGGCACTGTTGACTTCAGTTATACAAAAACAAAGAGATTGTTGTGATATACGGAGAAAAGTAAATAAAGGAATCAAACAAATAAACAATATAGCCTGTTGATGAAAGTACAGGAGTATGTATCAAAAAATTAAAATATGGTTAAAAAGTTAAGTGACATACAATTTGCCACTGCTGTGCCACAAATACAAAACCAACTTAACTGTAAGACTACTGGAAAACCTACACTGTGCTCAGTGTTTCAGCCGGTTACGCGTTTTTATTGCATATGTGAACTTAGTTTCTTCGCATATTGTCAGTTAATTCCAAACAATTTCCTAACCAAACACTTACTACATGGTTGTGCTCGTCTCCGTTTGCACCCCACAACAAGCAGAAAACAGTGAGTATATAAAGGCTAGACATATTTGCTGTGATGTTTCAAGCTTAGTGGGGCCAAAGTTAGTCGGCACCGAAGTATCTTCTCAAGGAAATATCCCCCATTGAAGAGGAAAAAGACTGAAGTTCGAATATTTCTTCTTTGACAGCGGCTGCGGCACACAGACAGGCGAGTTTTTGAGGTTTCTTGCGGCCGAATGGCAGACGAATCTCACTACTGCCACGTCGACTCGCTAGAGTGCGCCACCGCCGCGCAGCCGCGCCGACTCGGCCGCCGAGAGTCG